TTACTGCTCACTGTTTTCACAAGCAAAGTGTAAATTTTAATGAGAACCTTTTGACTTCTGAAATTAGCTGGCAGGCATGTCAAAATGGGGAAGAAACCCAACTTGTATTTCACTTTTACTTAATTAACATCAGTGTGGATTTTGGAAAATAAAGTGGAAAAATAAAAGGATAAAAATAAAAAAGGGAAGTCAAATTGGAAAATAAAAGGAGAGTCAGACGCTGAATAAATACTTGTGTAACGAACATGTGAGATACAGTTCATTTCATATTAGTATTAGCTGAATATTTCAACATGGAAATACAGCAAAACCTTGCAGTGATTCCAACAATAATAAAGCATTTGTTGGTAAGATAACTGTGTTTCTGTTGCTCTTAAAGTATCTGAAATATACACTTGGGACATAAATTGTAACAAGAAAGTAAATAACTAATGATAGCTATTAAGTAAACAAGGAAAACAAATCTGTAGATTTCTCCCCCAAAAATTCACTTTAGTGAGGGGGAATTAGGTTTATATGTGAGCTAATGCAGGTAGCAAAAAATAAAAATTTTGTATGTATATATGGGTGCATCTATACATGTTTTATGTGTGTGTGTGCAAATACATTTTTAGATATGTGTGTATATATATAGTTACATCTATCAATGTATGAAAAGCTTAGGTTGTCTTCTGAAGTGATTCATCTAAACTTTCTTCTGGAATGCCTTGAAAAATGGAATATGCTTTTTTCATTCTCAGTAAACAACTTCATCTCTAGGCTATTTAATCTGAGTAAACACAGAGTCCAGATCTTTAATTTATTCTTCATGTACTCATGCAATATCGAGGCATTTGAAAAAGCAGAAACATCTTTAAGGTTCTGTTGGATGACTTGCAGTTGGTGTTGTTAACACAAGAGCAAGCTACATGTCTCTTATTTTTTAAAAATAAATTGCTAGTATTAGAAGCACGGATGAGTGACCCTAATTAAAGGCAACCTCCTGTAGACTTTGAGGTTGGTTGTACAAAGTAACCTGCTTGGTTGAGGTGGGGTGAGCAGTGGACATGGCCTGCCTGGATTTCTCCAAGGCTTTCGATAACCCTTTCCCACAACCTTGTCCTAGAGAAACTGATGTGTTAGAGTCTAGATAAGTGGTCTGGGGGGGGGGGCGGGCTGACAGGCTGCACCCAGAAGGTGGTGGTAAATAGCTCCTTTTCAACCTGGCAACCTGTCACAAGTGGGGTCCCCCAGGGATTGATATTGGGCCCAACCCTGTTCAATATCTTCATAAGTGATCTGGATGATGGGATCAAGTGTACCATGATGAAGTTTGCTGATGATACAAAATTGCATGGGGAAGCAGACACTTCAGAAGGGAGAGCCACCCTGCAGGAACACCTGGATAAGCTGAAAGAGTGGACTAACCAGAACTTTATGAAGTTCAACGAGGACAAGTATAAGGTCTTGCACCTTGGAAAACATAATCCAGGAGTGCAGCACGTGCTGGGATCTACCCAGCTGGGGAGCAGCTCTTTGGAAAGGGACATGGGGATCCTAGTGGACAAGCTCAATGTGAGTGAACAGTGTACTGCTGTGGCAAAGAAAGCCAACAGGATGCTGGTTTGCATCAACAAGGGCATCACCAGCAGAGATAAAGAAGTCATTATCTTACTCTACTCAGCACTTGTCAGGCCACACCTGGGATATCGTGTTCAGTTTTGGTCCCTGCTATGCAAAAAAGACGTGGACAGGCTGAAGAGGGTCCAGAGAAGGGCCACAAAGACGATCAGTGGACTGGGTAGACTGCCATATGAGGAAAGTCTGAGCATACTGGGTTTGTTCAGCCTTGAGAAAAGAAGGCCCTATCACCACGTTCCAGTATTTAAAGAGTGGCTGCAAAGATGGATACTCCCTTTTTACAAGGTGTCACGTGGAAAAGATGAGGGTTAATGGGTACAAGGTACTCCTGGGGAGATTCTGATGGGACACAAGAGGAAAATTTTTCACAGTGAGAACAATCGGCCATTGGAACAATCTCCCCAGGGAAGTGGTGGATTCCCCAACATTGGACACTTTGAAGATTCAGCTGGATGGGGTGCTGGGCCATCTTGTCTACACTGTGCTTTTGCTGAGAAAGGTTGGACCAGCTGATCCTTGAGGTCCCTTCCAACCTGGCATTCTACGATTCTATGATTTGTGCAAGTATGTCTCTGTAATACAAACATCAAAATATCCTAAGCCAAGCCCTATGCTCATGGAAGCCTCAGGTGTCCAAGTTAGGCTGATAGAAATTTAAGCTTCCAACTTCAAGCTTTCCAGTTGGTGCTTCTGGCCAGCCTTGTCTTTACACCACATTTCAGTTTTCTTAAAAGGAACCTACATAACAATGCCACTGGCATGGCTAATAATGTAAATATTAAAATATGACTATATGCAGTCTTCATATGACTGTCAAATGGTATGTTAACTATACAATATGTGTAATTACTGGCTTCCTGGGGCTTTATTATTCTGTAATAATCTGACATAAATCTGATTCTTAAGAAATTACAACCAAATTTTTAACACTAGTGAAATGCTCCTTTTGGTAACTTAAGTGTTTATGAATTTCCGTTAGCAATCAGTAAGGATTACATGAGGCTCTAACATTTGCATTTTACTAGATTTTTGAGAGTGAACCTCAGTGCTAGGTACCAGAACTACCTTTTTTCTCCCAAGTCTTGAACTTTGGGAGTTTTCTCCACAAGGGGGAGCCGCGCTCACGGTCCATGGCTCTGTTAGCCTTGCGGGCAGTTCGGAGTCCAGTTCTTGTTCTTGCACCCTTGGTTTCTCTAACCTTCTGTAATTTTAAGTTTTAAACAGCCTCAGCTGATTGCTTCTGAGGGTAGTAGTAGATAGATACAAGTAGTAGTACAGATACAAGTAGAATTTAGTTTAAATTGAGCAAATAATGCACCCTATCTTTTTTTTAAATGGAAAAGAGAATTATTGCAAATTCCCTGTAGCATAGTCTTTCTGTTTGCATTGATTTCAGCAGTTACCATTCAGTAACAGTATATTTATAGTGAATAACCAGGTGCACAAATCTGTCAGGTGAGATCTTTTACTAGGAATTTTTGAAGTGTCTAGGGCACTTTCTCACTGGTAGCAGTCAGACATCTAAAACCTGAAAATGAGACAATTTGGAAATAGCAGTCTTCATCCACACCACCACGCAATCAGTATGTGCCATTGTAAAGAACGGATCAGTGAAGAAAGGTTATTCATTTATTAGAAGTAGCAGTGGCTATAGAAATTGTACCAAATAACTTACAAAAATATTTGTAATATTTCACCCAATTTAAAAGAACTGAAACTTCATCTCAAACTTAAAATAATTATTACAAATATACAGTATGCCAATTTTTTTTTTTTTCTCTTGAGTGAATGATGTTTGTGTTTTAATTCCAGGTGCAGTTTTCCTGGTTATTTTTTGCAGGGGCAGTCCCTGTATTTTTTTCTTTTTTCATTGCAACTCTCTTATGTCACTATAACAACTGGGATCCAGTGATGGTGGGAATCAGAAGAATTTTTGCCTTTATTTGTAGAAAACATCGAATTCAGAGGTAGGGCAGTCACAAAGTTTTATCCTGTCTCTTCTTTAGCCTTTCCAATATCCTATACTCTATTATAAGCCACAATACTCATACTGTGTTTATTCTAATCGAATTTTATATTCAGGTGTACTAATTTCTTAATAGTAGTAGTTGCCAATCCATTTATTAACCTATGTAATGCTCAGAAAATGGAAATATGTGAAGTCTGTTTACCTTTTAAAAAAAGTTTCTTAGTGGCTGTCACAGTTTTCTTTTTCTTCCCTTAATGCCTCTATGATAGTTGCTGTACCCAGAACATGCAGTGAAGATTGTGCAAACTGGAGTATACTTTATGAAGTTAAGGGGTCTTTGTATGTTTTTAATGGCTGCAGTTCAAACAACTAGCATACTTAGTGCTTATGTTGGCTTCATAACAATCAATTTAGTATTACTGTATAACTTTAAATATTTGTTTCTTTTAAGAATGCCAGAAGAAAGTGAGCAGTGTGAAAGTCTCATTCCTATGCATAGTGTTTCACAAGATGGAGACAGTTGCTGTTCGTAGACAAAAGGTATGCTTAATAAACTTCAAACAATACAGAGAAAAGTGAGGATTGGTTTTCCTGATGGCATTTATGGTTGTATAAGCACACATTTTTACAGAGCATACAATTAATCTTGTTCTGTATTGATGGGTAGAGTTTTGAAGGGTATCTTCAAAATTATTATTATTCATTACCAAGCATTATTCTCACCTTGATACAGTTCTTGGTTAGTGGTTTTGAAAAGTAGAGTAGTTTTTTACTTAGGACTATTACAACGTTCATAAAAAATTGGACATAAGTCAATAAACCAGAAGAGGCATACAACTTCTTGGTACGTATGATATGTGTGGAAGAGATCTGAAGTAATTATTTCACTCTTTTCAATGCTGCTGAAGTCTTAGTTTGGGCTACTGCAGTTCATGAAAAACATCGACCGTTTAAGGAAGTAGAGGACATGACCAGACTTTATCATTATGGGTCTAGAAAATGGGAAGGAGTCCTTGTGTTTGTGGTTGACAAGAATTACATTAAGTTGCATTAAATATTAGGGAAAGTATTTCTCATGGTAAGGATAGGGAAACTAGAGTAGAATAGCTAGGCTGTTTGCAAAATATCCCTCTCTAAGAGGAGGTTACACAAACATCTAACAGGAAGATTACATGGTTTGTTGATACTATCTTGGAGCATAAAGATAGACATAGTTTAGGACTTTCTTAGCCCTATGCTTCAGGGCTTAGTTTTCAAATAATGCATGCAGAATTACATGATGAGAAGTATATTTTTATTTCCTAATGTTGCCTAAATCTAATAATGAAATTAAAAATATTCTAAACAAAACAGTAATTGTGATGTCTTAAGCTTAAGAGACACAAGTTATTTCCTTTATTAATAAGATGGAAACAATACATATGGCGATTCCTTTTTTGTAATCTTTAATTATGTAGCCCTGATAATTTTTTTTTTTTTTCTTCTTAGTTTAAAAATGGAATAATGCCCAGCGAAGAGACAATCTTCTGGAAAAGTCCCTAAGGAATCATGTTTCAGTGCCTATTCTGAATTTGTAGTAGAAATAAGAAGTTTCAGTTCTTTTGAAACTCTAAACTTTTCCTCTTTCTTGCTTTCATCTGGTTTTATAAATGAACAAATTTACTACATGCCTATCACCATAGGGAGTCTTAGCCCATCTGAGCAACCAACCTGCCTTATAACACTGAGCTTGTGAAGTTACTTGACAAAATCAACAAAACAAATGCTGTTAAGTGATTTCTTTCTTTTTTGAACTCACAATTTTGTTAAATGCTGGAAAATATTATTTTTAAAAAATACTTCCAAATGAGTTATGTAAATAAGTTGCAGGTCATCAAGTCTTACAGGCTTTCAGATGAAAAGCTAAATAGATATGTTACCTGTAATAGGTACAAGTTAACTTTTTTATGTTGTATAAACTATTTGCATATTAATAGAAGAAAATTGAAAAATAATTTATTAAGTACATTCTTGTAATTATTGAGGCAGGATCTTTGTATGGTCCTAGAACACTACATATATATTGTCTTATGCCATTTTGAGAAGCCTTGTAATGGGTGCTGATGTTTAAAAATCTTTTGTTACCTAACAATCTGGAATGTTTAAAATTTTAGTGGATGGCAAAATATTTCTAATTACAGTACATTCGAGTGTACATTCTCAAAATCAATATTTGTTTTAAACAGACTGATTCTGTAACCCATTCTTATTCCCAGTTATCTCACATGGAAAACTAAATTTGAAAGTTTTCACATGTATAGCTGCCAAGTTATAAAAGAGATCAAATTAATTGTGAAAGTTTTCAGTCAATGGGTTGGCACTACAGTAATCTGCTAAACAGTCTGAAAGATAAAGGTGTTTGCATTGATTTTTTTTTTTCCAGTGGCATTAATAAATTTATCCTAAAATTGATCATTTTCTGTATAACTTGTATCTTCCTTTCAGTGCAGTGCTTCTGTCCTATGTGATTCTGAAAAGTTATGAATAATTATATTCAGGAATATTTGAAATCAGTCAGTGCCATTTTCCAACTTCTAGCCTATAAGACACTTATATTAAAGTTAATTTTGGCTTTTGATGGATTTTTTTTTAAATAATAAATGTAGGATGGATTTTCGGCCAACAGTATTCTTTTCCACGTAACAAGTTTATTAATAATAATCCTTCCACAAAAATACAGAAGGATGACATAACACAAATGCCTTTTCATGTTTTGACACTCAGTAATGATCCTTCCAAAAGAAATTTTGGTAGTTTGGTGATACAGCTATTAGATGAGAGGGAATGCAGGAAAGCAACGTGCTTAGCTATACATTTAGAAGGATTGATGAGCCAGCAGCTAGAATTTCATGTAAAAATCTGTAAGTAGAGAAGGAAAAAAAAATGAACCTGGGGGCTATTCTGGTCAAATATTGCACCTTTCTCAAATTTTTCCTTCCAGTTTTTAATACTGGATTACACTACAAGTTTCAGTGATCTGAGGCATCTCTTTAAGATGAGATAGTAAGTCCTTCTTTGGACACCTGAAATAGGAATTTAAAAAAAACAAAAACACCACAAACCCAAAACAAACAAAAAGTTTATTAAATTTATGTAGGCATTTTAAGAAACTTCACATTTCAATTCCAAAACCCCACAAGTAGAGGGGTTGAAAATCCAGTATGTAGAACTAATTTTACATTTGACTTCGGTAGAATTTTCAGGGATTTTTTGGGAAGTGGAGTTTCCTTAGTTGGTTTTTAAGGATTTTTGTTTTTTCTTTCTTCTAAATTATGACAAATTAGAGGATGTTAGCTTCAACTTTTTTTCCAAGAAGTAATGTTAAAGCCTACTGGCAATAAAAAGCTAATGTCTGTTTTCAATTAATGATATGTTTCAATGAGATCATACCGAATATATAATACCGGCATTAACTAGAAATTTGAATCAGTTGAGACTTGTGGCACGAGCAGACTAAGCCTGGGAATACTGAGTATGCTTTCGGATGGGCAGTTACAGTATTTTTAGTGAAATATTCTAATACTGTCTTTTGAAATTGGTCATACTGATAGAATTGCAGCTGTAATGTATAATGGGCAATTGCTATTCATATTTGCCCTTATGTTCATGGCTTGAAGCAAAAGATCATCATAGTCCCCAGGTACTAGGAGAATATTCTTCTGTCTCTGACCCCAGGAATGTTGAACAATGTTTTTGTTTGGTAAACTCAAAGTTAGGGCCTTACCACTGTTTTTGTTTTTAAAAAAATGTGTTAATTTTTTTTTTTTAAATATGAAATATTTTAGTCTCATGACACTAGGTAGCTTGAGCAGTCTTTTTGCATTAAATTACAGTTTGTTAAAGAATAAGCAAACTGTCCTTTCTGAAAGGATTTTTAAACATTGCTGCCTCTGTAGTTACAAGAAATGTGTTACAGTTTTAATTACAGAAGCTATGACATGTAACATTGTTCCTGCATTTAATAGAATGTGATGAGCTTTTTCTATGAAGTCGTGTGATTTTTTTAGTACAATAATGTTTTATAAATATATTATCTAATTTGAAATGTAAATTGCGTAGCTCTCTAATGGGTGCTTGGTAAATGCACAAGAGATTTAGCTTTGATTCTCAGGTACCTCTGACGTAATGGAGACATGCTGGGTTTTTCTTCCTCATGACACAACTGGAATGTGAAGGAGCTCTCTCATAAATGCTTTACCTCTGTGTGCTAGCATAAATTGTCATTGCTCTTACTGTTTCAATTTAGGAATGCCTTTATTTCAACTTATTTCTTGTAGGAAGCACATAAACTTTGAAAAAAATAACGGAATTTTTATCTCAAGCATTTCTTTGAATGCCATTAGATGCTTAAGGAACAGTGATTTCCCATGCCTACAAAATGGAAAATTAATACTACATGTGTTGCTCTCTCAAACAGTTGAACTAATTACTGTAATCCTATAAGACAACCAACAATTTCTTCTGTATGTGATTGAGGTTTTGGAGCTGTTTGGGTTTTATATATGGAGGAAATGATGATAATTTGCCAAATGCCGTGTAGCATGCCTTCGCCTTCAGGGTTTTGGTGAGTCTTGCGTAGTTTGATGTACTGTGTACTGTACTCCAGAGCAAAGGGAAAAATGGATTTCAGTTTTTCTGGCTACTTTTCTGTTAGGTTTCAGTTGTGGTGAAAATGTGTTCACTACAAGGGGCTGCTGTAGATGTGACACTGATTCAGCAAAGGACTGAAATACATGCAACATCAGTACTCAGCAATTACTTAGAAAGCATGGGGTACATGAATGCCACTGAAGACACTGAGGGCCCGATGTTTCTGTTGCCCAGTGTGCACTGCATCTTGCTTGTTGGCTTTTTGCCTGTGGAAATGCATGTAAAGGGGTGGGGGCTGTAGTATGTGACTGATTTGGCTTGTCATGGAGTTGGGCTAAAGTGGACCACACACTGAAACTCAGAAGCTAAGGCACTGCTTGGTTATCTCACTGTGGTGTTGCAAATGCTGAAGTATTTTGCAGAAATACGGTGTTAAGTAATGGTATTGTAGGAGTGACAAACCATGGTGCTGCATGTGATACTTGACCTGGTATGCTGGTATACGCATTGCATACCTCCTTGTAATGTACTAGCAAAAATAGGAGAGTCTGCAAATTACTTTTCTTGGTGTGTGGTGTTGTAATTGTCATTCTCTTTCACAATCCCCATTGTGCCTAGGTACTGCTATTCACAACTATGATTGCTTTAAATAAGGTGGCAAAACAATTTCTTTGTAATTCTTGGTTCCATCTCTCTCTGTGTTGAATGTTATCATTCCTATTGCCTACTAAAAGATCCTCCTGTCTTAGGGAAATGAAGTTACTGAGCTAAACCAAGCTATCAGAGGAGGGGGAAAACAAGTTAAATTTTAGACATAGGTTGAGTTTATGGACACGCTTTCATATTTCTTATGAAAATAGGCTTCAGTGAGGCAGAATGTTTGTATGTTTGTAAATGAAGAAGTGGCATACTCAAAAATCAAGAAGCAGAAACTAATGTTAATATCACAACATTGAGTTATATGGCTAACTATAGGATGGTACTTTTAATCAGTTTTCTTTATTTGGGTTAAGTTTCGAGTTAGTTACCATTTCTGTTATGTCTTATGTAGTGTCTGCAATTTAATAGTTATAACTGCAGTAGCATTTAAGTGTTGGCTCATAAACAGTTGTTATGCATGATTTTTTTTTTTCCTATCTAATCCAAGATTGCATTAATGCTTTATTTTGTTGTACATGATTATTGCAAGGCATGATTTCTCAGGGAAATACGGATGATACCATGTGTTGTGAGAGCTGATAACTAACTCCTGCATTTAAAATTGTTACAAATATTTTAAGGTTTCACTTCAAACATTTCACATCACGTAACTTTCATGTTGAACTTCCTTAGACTTGTCAGGTAAATCATGATGAGAATGTTAACAGCATTTAAAGGTGTCAATAAAATACACTCTGCCCAACACTTTTTTACTTTTTGGACAAACATCCATTCTAAACTGATGCTGCAAGTTATGTATGTTTTTATCTACTTAATTGTACTGTGCGCTATATAAATTAATAGTTGCACTGCTGATTTCAAAGCTGCACTTACGGCATGACAGTGACATTAAATTTCAGGGTTAGGCAATGCTATAGTAATACATAATCTGATTCTGGAGTAGAGTACCGGTATAAATCTTCTAACATATATATATATATATTCATTTATATAATTAAATTTTTACAAAGTCTGTTCACTTTGGGGATTTTTGTTTGTTCTTCCAGTAAAGTTACTTTGGCTAGACTGGGATTTGATCCAAAGCCCATGGGAGTCATAGACAGCATTAATAAAGTAAAACTTTATTGAAAATAAACTCCACAGTCAGGTTGACCTTTATGCCTTTGCAGTATTTCTGTCTGCAGCATACATTTGGAGTGGTTTGCTTTAAGACTTCAGTAATATAAATTTGAGGGATTTTAGTGCTGGTAAAAATGGTAAACATACTATTGTAACTAGTCACAAAAATATTTCCCTATAGGCAGCATGCAGCTTAATTATTTAGAAGGCGAATTTGTCTTGCTACATGAATTTTCTTTAAAATCAGCAGTATAAGAAATGTTAACCACTTCACTTAGTTGTATACTTGTAGGAGAATTTTTTGTCAATAGTGAGAATATGTGATCATAGTCATCATAGCCTTGAGGATCAACTTCCTCTTGATGATTTCTGATTTGACATTTCCATTTACATTCACTTTGCAAAGAATGCAACAGGGCATTTCCTCTCTAGGTAAGCTATTATAATAATATTTTGACTGTCCCAGTTCTCTGTATTGTTAGAAATCTAACATTAATATATAAATGTGACTCTGCTTAGTTATCTGTGTTCTCACTCTCCTCCAAGGTAAAGTTCTGCATCATTACATCTGGTATTAGTAGTTAACCAGACTTTTTCTGGAATGCCTACTGTGATGTGGAACACATCCAGAATTTAATCTAGTTTTCAGTTCCTACTTTTTAAAAGTATAAAAGACTTTCTCTGAGGATTTTTGTAGAAAGCTGCTGTTTAGTTCTACAAGTGCAGAGTTCTTTAAGTGCATCTCGGTTCATAAAGTTGCATCCAATTTTATTTTTATTTTTTAATGAACTTTTGACTGTTTTGTCAGGGAAGGTGCACAAATTTTGTGTATGTTCCACAGAAGAAATATGACTGGATACTGGAACAGCCTCAGAAATAATAATTCAGGGGTGTTTCTATAGTTCTTTACATATGTTCCTGAAGTTTTTCAACAGTTTTTTAAAAAAACCAACCAAACAAAACCAAACAAAACCCCACATCTGTCAAGCTGAGGGGAATTAGCCATTTAGCATAGAACTAATTTTATAATATGCAAATTACTGTGTTTTCATTAGAGATATCCTTCAATATATTACTGATGTTGCCAGCCCAGTTGTCTGTGTTAGAAGTGATGCTTCTCTTCTACCTAAATCTGACCTTTTGCATGCCAATTAAACTAGTTTCTCTACCAGAATGAGTAATTTCTAAAATATTTTTAGAATCGCCACCTTCTTCCTCTAGCTAGGGGAGCAGCAGGAGTTTTCCAGGGAAATAGTATCCCTTTCCTATTGGAGAAGAAAAAAAAAATTAAAAAATAAAACTTAATTGAAAATAAACAGTCTTACCGGGCAGCATATAGGATCAGCTGTAAAATCATCAGGGTAATTTCTTACATAGCCCAATTATACATAGGAACTGCTTAGGCAATAAAGTATTGGATTGATCTCTCTCTGGTTGATCTTGATTCAATATAGAATGTAGGTATTTTAAATAATCATTTCATATTGAAGCTGAATGCTTAAATTAAGCCCTGTGATTGTAAGAAAAAAAAAAACCTGGGAAAAAATTATATTTGGAGACTACATACTAAGGAGTTTTCTTCTCTGTGTTTTGGGGTTTTTAGGGGCTTTTTTTGTGAAGTGTTAAAAAGTCCCACATACAATCCAGTTACAAATAAATGCTCTATTAATTGAAAATCATGAGAGGATATTTACACAAAGCTATATTGAAAGCTTAGCCATTTGTTCAAGTTGGCGTTATCTGAATGGAATTAGAGAAGTATAATGTATGTGATACAGCTTCAGCATTGTACAGCCGAAGGGGTCCTTGTAATGA